CGCGGAGGTAGTTAGCCAGAAATTGAAGAACCCCGCGTTTCGGCCTGTGTGCTTGCCTCAGAGAATTGTTAAGTGTTCAACGTGATATTCAAAGTTTGCTGAATTAGCAGCGGTTGTAAAACGCGGTGAGGTTAGTTACTTTTAGACAGCCTCGTAGTTAGAGTCTTGTTATTATTTCTTTTCAGGTTCTTATTTTTATTTTACCGCCGGGTCGGCGTAGTTTGTGAGCGTCAAGAGCACGCAATTGTAATGTCTTAAGTTGAATAAAAAGGGACTTAAACCCTTAGCAAGATTCTGTCTATTTTCCAGTTTCAACAGTCACCTCTTGGTTGCGTGCAGGGTGGAGGCGCGCAACTCTACATTCTCATGTGTAACGTAATTGGAAACCAACTTTTCCTGAGAAAATCCTTGACTATGCTTCTGGTCTTGAGAACGATTGAGTATGTGTGATTTTTCATAAACAATTAAGAAAACTGGAGCTTAGGAAATTCATACATAGTAAAATATTATATCACAATTCATTATGGTTGTGAAGAAACTTATTAATTAGGCTTCTGTATTTATCCAGTGTTTTTGTTTTGTTGGTGTCGTTTTTGTTTCTTAAAAAAGTAGCCAATTTTTTCTACCAAATTTCTATGCATCAAATTCAGATTTATTCAATATTTTCTTAAATTCAAGATATTTTATTAGTTACATAATTTGACAAATGAAAGACACCCTCTGTAACTTTAGTTTCATCACTTTATGGGAATTTAGATTTTGGGAAAACGAAAGTACTGTTGTTTTCTATCTATTGCCTTATAAGCGTTTTTCTTAAAACTTATGATATAAGCAGTCTGAAAGTATACTTTTGAGGAAAGAATATGTACTCTTAAATAACATATTAATCCCAGTTGATATGTTTACTTCTGATGCATGATTGTTAGGCATAATATTCCTATTTGGTCTTAATATAATACATAACAGTATTTTATGCATCCAAATTAGGAAAAGTATACAGCTCTTACTCTTAGATATTCAGAGACATCCGTGGCGTTTCACATAATTTTGCTGAAGAAAACGTCTCACCAGTGGTCGAGTGGTTAAATACTACTGAAGACTGGTAGATCACCCCCCGGTTTCACTGGGCGAACGGGCTGGTTGTATGATTAGTTTCCGTGTTTTCCTTATATTAAAAGTGACTACAAGATAATATCATTTACAAAAGTCTTAGAAGAAAGCATCCGTCTTCTTAGGGCTGATAGACCTAGTTGTGTTTCTCCATACTCAAATAATCTAACCTACTGAGAGAAATTTCCGTACGAGACTTTAATTACTTGCATTATCATCAAGAAGCTCTCATAAAGAGGCATTTCTTTTATGATACATGATTTAAAATTATCGACTTTTGTAGCAGGAATTATTTGTTTTAAACAGAAATGGCTAAATTGAATTTTGATGTTATTTTTTCAAGGTGTATTAACCATTCTTCAGGACTATGTTGGTAGACAAAAACTTTAAGTAAGATGTCTAAATGACTGCAATGCACTGAAAAATTTGCTGTCTTGAAAACAAGTCTTTTAAAATAACTGCTGTTGTTCCTTAGTCTGGTTGTCTGATAAACTGCTTTCGCGATAGAGATCATTTAAGCCTGATTGAATCAAGGTAGTGCACAGGGTGTCTATAATTAAAGAACCCTATTTCAAAGCTGCCTACAAGCGAAACCAGTGATCTGAAAATTGTGAAATTTTCTAGCGGACTTTATGAAGGGATGGGAATTTTTTCAGCGAAAAAACAAATTAGTTCAAATAGCGTCCCTAGAGTTCCTTATTTTAATAAATAATTCATCATTTAGCCACACTTTTACAATAGTTTTACAATATTACAAATTTTATTATTAAAACGCATGTTTCCACGTGGTGGCCATAATTTTCAGCTAGCATCTGTAATCGCAAGATTACATGTTCCACAGTTGACCGAATTGTGTGCTGGGAAATGTTCAGCACGTGACGTGAAATGCTAGCTTAAAAATAAGGTAAAGTTCTTGGATTTTTACGACTTACCAGATGTTTCAAATGCTCTCAATGCAAAAAACCGTATGTATTCAGGTCTACGGATCGGGAAGACCACACACTACGAAAATGCACCCTAATGACCCATTCTCTATAAAATGACGTTTAAGACCATTCGTAATAAACCATGCAATGTGTGGGGGAGCTTCATCTTGCAAGAAGACTGTGCGTGCAAGACATTGAGGTGATTGCAGAATTTCTTTCTCTAACAGTGATGCATGTTGCTGCCCGATGATGGAGCATGTACCTGAGTAAGGTTTTAAGTTAAACTAACCAAGTTTCTTTTTATTTTAAGTTACCCTTTCCTGTGAACTCTTATTTCAACTTCCTTTCAGAATGAGCGCGCAGTTCAGCTTTATGCTAATTTGTGTTACAGCCAACTTTTGTATTTAAAGGTTAGTGGGGGAACTTCTCAAGTGTGTGTGAGAGAGCTTTTAGTCTCAGACCACGTCGGCTCGGTGGACGTTTGCCAGTTTAGTTAGTATTTAAATTCTTACGCCTTAGCGCTATTCCTCTAATACTGATTGAAGTAATTTAAGTGCGTTAGTACTTAGCAAAGGCTTGCTACGCACCATACATAGGCCAATCTTGCGTTTAAGCTCTGTGACAGCGACTATTTAAATGTCTACTGAAGTTTTACTTTAAATTGCTTGATTGTTCAATTTAGACCCAAGCGCGGTCATTATTTTCTGTTATCACTCCCGAGCTGGGAGTTGCTGTAAATAGTGATTTAAATAAAAGGGTCTTTTACACCCTTCTTACGTTGTAATTCTTCTAGCACTCACAAGAACATAGCTGCATTCTGCTCACTGTTCGAGTTCAGGACATTGATACTGTCACCATTATGTTTGCCAAAAGTATGCATAGAACACTAAGTCCTGACAACTGGACCTGTGCAATTTAGCTCCTCGAAAATGTACAGATTGAAAATAAATGAGGCAGAAAGTCCAAACCATAGCGTCACTTTTGCTGCATTGGAAACTTTAACAATTTTCTGATTCCCAAATTCGGCAGGTGTGATTATTCACTGCACGATCCAAGTAGAAATGCGGTTTTTTTGTCCAGAGAATATTTCAAGGCCATTCTGATCGATTTCAAAGCAAGAAAAAAACTGAAGTGATAACTGGAGTCGAGCGTCAAAATCATGTAGAAGCAACCGATGCACTAGTGAAAGTTTGTAAGGGGGATATCGAAGGATATTCCGCAACATCTTGTGGGCAGTTAAACGGGCTTATCCAGCTCCTCTGCCATACACCGGACACTGGTGCTAGCCTGAAAGTTTGAAGCTGTGTTCTCTACAACCTAAAGTACAAAGTCCTGTACTGCTTCTGCAGAAACAGAATTTCCTCCTCTTTCAAGACGAACAGAAAACTATCCTCTTTCTTGAAATTTAGTTTTGATTTTCCGAAGGTTTTTACCTTTCACTGGGCCTCTTATGCTCTTCAAAATCCAAAATTTTCATAAAGCAGCGATTGCAGAGTTATTAAAATAATTAAATAATTGGCAGAATATTAAAATAATTTTGCTAACAAAGCGCGATCTCGTATACGTATCGTCATTGTGAGTAACAATGACATATTAAAAAGAAGGTCTCCGAAATTGTTTTTATGTTTTAAGCCAGCTGCTGCATGGCGCTGACAAAGATTTACATTTTTACCATAGGTTTTCAAAATAAAACGTCCTCTGATGACGCTTTTTGTAACTATTTATTTTTTTCGCTGAAAGAAATTCTCATCCTTTCATTACGTCCGCGACAAAATTTAATATTTTTCTGATTACTGCTTTTCCTTGTAGGCAGCTTAAAAATAGGGTTACTTAATTATAGACACCTGTACATTAAGATACCGGGAAACTGACTTCTGATATTACCATTGAACTATAGCATTAATATAAGAATTTAAAAATATAGATCACCTAACCGGTATAATGATTAACGTCGCTGACTTCCGTACCGAAGGTTCCAGGTTCGAATATGGGAGATATTATGGATGTTTTTAAATGTATAGTGTCCGTGAGGCATTGGGGCTCCTTAAATATGCGCGAGCCGAAAATCCTCTCGAGAGGCTAATGCTAGGAGAAGAGGGGTGGGAGATGGGAGATCCTCGGACTCGTCCCCAGGGGGTAAGTGATAAGTGACGGAGGACGCGAGCACCACCCTTCTACCACAGCGGTTAATTGGTATAGCGCCACGTCCCCCTTGTCTAGAGCAATCCAAGATGGTATGGAGAAGGGTGAGGGGCCACATGAACCCCTGACATCAGTCACCGATTTAAAATACAGTGCCATACAAGGGCCTTGGCAGATAGTACATTGCCATACAATAATATTTGGGTTCATACAGTATGTTACGATTGAGGTACATATTACGTATGATGGCATATTACAAATAAGGTACATAGTACATAATCGTACATATACAAAGACAAATATATTTAAATTATGCATATTACATTACGTTAATTTGATTATGTGCATGGGAATATTATAGATATAGGAAATTATATTAAAATTTACATGTGATCCAAAGGCAATATCGTGTTGTAATGGTTCGTATGCTTTACACCAGAACTTATGACATGTAAATTATGCATACATTATACATTATATACACTATACTGATACATTACACACTATGCTGCTATATACATTATACTGATACATTACACACTATGCTGCTATATACATTATATTGATATATTATATACACTATACTGATATATTATACATTTAGCTGAGGTACATAGCACAGTTGACTTTTTATTATATATATTTGGTTTTATACTATACATTATTTAATGCAGGCTGATCATTTATACACCAATATACTCACTCAATGTGTACTCAATATATGCACATTGTAATAATTGTGCATGTTAGAAATAGCACGAAATATACTCTGTCTTGTTTTGCTTCGACCTTAATAGTATGTTTGTAGGCTGAAACACACCTTTAGGCTGTTTGACACAGATCTGTGCCAAGCGCATAGAGTTTATCCATTACTTTTGTTAGTTTGTATATGAGATGACGTTGCTTTATAAGAAATTTACAGAACGCTTGACGATTGGTCTGCGGGATAAGTATATGTAGTCCAGTTGTTAGTGGACATGTTGTGACATACTGTTCCGGAGTTCCCACTTCTGCGCAGCTGCATATATCCGTCTCACTGATGCCGCGTTTTGCAAAGTATTCCGGGAAGGGACCATGCCCCGTAATGTAGTGTATGAGCTGTGGATTACTTATAGTCCTTTCCGAATCAACGTATGATAGATGATAGAAAGTTCTGCGTTCTGTCTCTCCTTGGTCCAATTCTTCCTGTCGTTTAGACGTAGCGTGGAGTCTCAAGGATTTTCTGAGGTGGGAAATGGGCCAGGAATGTTGACTAGACCTGAAGTTCCACCTAGAGCCCTTAGCTAGACTATCTGCCATCTCATTTCCGTAATCTCCTACATGTGCTTTAGTCCATTCCAGCATGTAGGAGTGTCCATTATTCTCTCGCAATCTTTGTTGTATGGATGCTATGGTGGGTGATGAATGTTCCGCATTATTAATGGCGTGTAAAACGGATAGACTGTCTGTCTTAATGGTTACTTTCCTAATTTGTTTTTGTTGTATATATTGTATGGCCTGTTCCATGGGTTTAGCTTCACTTTCGAAAACACTATTAAAGTCCCTAAGGGCTCCTTGCCATTTGTGTATTATTATTGGTGGACACAAGGCAACGAAGGCACTGCTCACTTTGTTGTCAATTTTAGAGCCGTCAGTATACACTGTGATATTTGACGGTTGTTCCAATGCCGTAGTGATACCCTTGATTCGGACACCTCTACCTTTGGTGCGTCCCCAGGGGGTGCTTTCCATCAAAATTAGAGGCGGAACAGAGCTACATCACACTGCCACCTGTGAGTTGCTCAAGGTGCTGTGTTGCCAACGACAGGCGTATATAGCACTCCTTGCCCCGAATAATATCGTGCGCTTGAGCTTGTCTGACTCACAAGTCAGACAATTGATCAATAGCCAACAACAACAACAACAAAAATATGGATCCCGATGTCGAATTTCTTGCTTCATGTTCGCAAACAGAACACAGAATCACAAAATACGTAAGTTCAGAAACAAAGGCATTGCTAGTCAGCACAGTCTGCCTTGTTTGGAATTGCCTTTATGTTAAGAATAAATCGAAATGGTATATATCAACGAATATTAAAATACACACACCATTGCATGCATATGATGCTCGAAATGCACTTGTTTAAACAGCTGATCGAAAGATGTTCATTCATTTAAAATTCAGACATTAATAAGTCGAATTACCATTAGCTGTATGGAGCGGTTATAAGTATGTGGATGTTCCTATATCAAAATTAGAAGCATACCGCAATAATAAGCTACTACTAAGCGAATAAATAAACAAATTAGAAACTCTTCTAACTTTAGTTCAAGGTAAAGTGTGTGTATACAAAAAAGTTCTGCCCAGTGAATAGAGACTTTATAAGCGTTCAGCATCAATGTAATATTCCGGCAAAAATGTTTGTATTTTAACGTGCAACATTTGCCGATATATTTTCGAGAACAAATATTAATAATGCATAAATTGCAAACCACTGAACATAAACCTAAAATCCTTTGCACCAGAACCATGCATTAGCCCCCACGTCAAAGAGGCAGTAAATAAGACACATGACCTGATTATTGGTTCTACTATTTGCATGGATTCTCACCATGGTAACAACTCTCCTTAATGCGTTGCGAAGCGCAGGTCATTAAAGAAAGCATTCGAAGGCTCTGGAAAGGCAACTTTTATCAGTTCTCCGAATACCATCCGCGAGCGTCTATTCCACTTTGATCAGATCTTTGACGAATTGGTGGAACAGGGTTTGGATATCTCTGCGATAGCGTGGGTTAATCTAGTACATTAAGCAAGGGGTGTGTAGGAAATGGAGGATGGTTAATGATATGGTCATGAATGAGAGTACAGTAGAAGTTGTTTCGTTTTGCATTTTACTCCGATTTGTGTATACGCCATGTAAAATATTTGAGATTATGTTAGAAACTTAACTTACTTCCAGCATCTGGCTTGAACTTTGTAACTAACTATAAATGAAGGTATAAGTAGGATTTTAATTTGCGTATACCTGAGAGTACTTATTTTAGAGGTGGGGCAAAACTGTTATTATTCTCGAATCGGAATTTCAAAAAGTGGTCGAAATTTGAATATTAAATTTCACGCGTCCATCAAATAAGAATAATTATACTTAAAACATAATTTTAAAATGCTTAACATTAAAAGTTTCAAGGAAAGGTAAAATGTGAAACCCTTGTTTAATGAAAAGCGAATTTAAGAAAACAGTTTAAAAATATACATTTATTATGAAGCTACAATCAAAATTTATCACATGAAAACAAATTTAAACTCTTGAATCTAGAAGTATGTTTTTTAAAAATACTTTGATAACATAAAATTTATAATAGAAATGATTAGCATTTGAGTCAAATTTCAATTAAGTGTTCAAAATCCCCAGCCATTGCTAAATACTTCAACCAATGCAGTCATGTGCGTGACGTAGTGTTTGCATGTACCATAACATCTACCTAAGGGAAGAGATGCCTTTGTGGAGGACTTTCTAGGGGAATGTGGCTCGTACACAAGTTACACATGGGGAAGATGGCGAAAACGGCCATGTATTCAGCTCGTTCGCCGGGATTCAAACCGCGAACCGATGTACTAGCGGCTGAGCAATAAAGTTCAGCGACTCTACTCCTCATCCGCTGTTGGGTATTATGAATAGACATAATCCGTTAAAAAGTTTATTTTTTCAGGTTAGGATTCAAAAAATAAAAAAAAGGTAGGAAGATTCGAACTTTAGTAAGAAGATTGTTGATTCTAAAATCTTTTTCAAGATCGTGGAATTCGCGAATCCGATTAAATATCCGATTCCTAATTTATTTAATCTTATATTCCAAGCAGTACAAGTAAGAAGTTTATTGATGCATTGGTACAAAAGATAGTGGTTATAAAGTGAGAAAGTGTTTAGAATGCATGCGAGTTTTAACGAAGTAAATGTGCATATTTATTTAATGAGCTCCCGACTCATGCAATGAGTCTATTATTAGTAAGCCCTTGACTCTCTAACGAATCGAATAATGCTTTAAATTTAAATGACCAGCCAACGCATTTGTATTCTGTTCAACGTTCATTTCTTATTTTCATTCTCCAATTATTTTTTTCGAAAAATTTTTTATGTACCAATATTGATGTTAACTCGTCGAACTCACTGAGAGAACTAAATATTTTTCAGTCTTCATTGTTGATATTTACTCGTCGAATGCACGTAGAGAGCTAACATTGTTTGACTTCTCCGGACTGTTTTGATTACTTTCATTTTCAAAAACATTGTTAGTATTTCTCTGTGTTAACAATTCGTATGAACTTTGTGAATAAACATACAAAGAGCAAGAAAATTAACCAAGAAGGGGGAAGCTTTATTTTTTTTCTTTCTTTTTTTAACAGCTCCGAGTAGAAACAGTTTTTAAAGGTGAAGAAGAAATAACTTCGGTTGTATTTACAGTCGGAAGGTCATTGTGTTATTTATAAGTAGTGACTGAGCTAAAGATATCTCAGTGTAGAAAGATTGCAAGGAAAGAATGACCTAAACTGCGGCAGAGTGACGAAAAAATTGCGCAAAGCGTATTTTTGAAGCTGAGATGTGCTCAATTAAAATTTATGAATATGAAGATCTGTGGCCATTTGATTCAAATTAAGTTTAACAATTTTGTTTCATATTTTGTATTTAGAAGTGTTTCAACTGAAGAAAATATTCATTTTTTGGCGATGGCAAATTAAAAAAATAATTAAATTTCAACAAATAATGAATTATAACTGTAAGGCGTCGCACGGATTCTATACTTATATTTGAGAAAGATTTATACTCGTTATGAAAAAAAAAATGTAAGAAAGTTCCCGTTGACTGGAAAACTTATTTCTGGGATTTAAAACTGACCTTGACATTTAATTTTAAAATTTACAGTTTTAGATGCCATTTTCAACTTGCCTTGAGGGATCGGTTATTGAGATTAGAAGAACTCGAGGGAATGCGTTTAAATGAAGTGCAGAAAAAATGTATCTTATTTAATAGGCTATTTAAGAAAGTCCTGTGGTGCCTACATCATGTGTGATTTTTTATGTCCGTGAAAGTGATTTATTCAGTTACTCTTGAACTTTACCAATTGTACTTCTCTAAATTTTTGAAGAAATCATGGAGTTGCAAACTTACGTATGTAATATTTCCGAAGAAAATAGTCCGCAGTTTTAAACCAAGGAACTTCAATTCACGAATCCTAATTAACATGACAAGTCATGGATATCTGTTAACTTGCGTGATTGTTAATATACACTGTGTTTATTTATGTTATTCCTTTTCAGGTAAGATGTGAGAAAATTAAGAAAAAAATGAAGCAAATTCAGTAAAAGTATTCTGAATATAAATAAAATAAAAGCAAACTTTCCGGAGACTTTTACGAAAAAACTGGCTACAAGGACCTATGGCAATTAACTTTCGTTCTATCAAATTAGGGTAATTACTAGAAAAAATAACACCTTTGAAAATTACTTTGCAAACGAAACAAATCCTGAGATAATAATTTCTATTGAAAACTGCCGAAAAAAAAATCTTCGTTTTTCTAAAGAAAATGAGATAAAAATTGTCAACATTTCTTAATTATATTCTTTTTCTAAATGTAAAGATATATCAAGCAACCTTACACCTTACAGATAAAATGTTTTGGTAGGGCAAAAAGGAATCGAACACAATAACGTAATTAAATATTTAATACAAGTTTATCTTGGAGGAAAAATTCACTCAGAGGTACATGGTCCTCATACCACGGAAGAATCCATTTTGCAAACACTGTCTTACAGAAGATTCTCCAGAAGCTTTTTGGATGCCAAAGCGACGAATGTAATTTATTACCTAAGTGAAGAGTTACGTTGGCCGTCTGTATTACTGCGCTCCAAAAACGGTCTGCAGCACTTCCACCACTTTTCGGTCTCGCTCAAATGTTTTATGGCCGTCGGTGTTTTATTTACCACCAGCGACGGTGTGATCTTGTTTTTGTTGCAAGCCTGCGAAAAGTCTCAATATTTTTTTCCTTCCCCCTTCCCCCCAAACGGTGAGAGTTGTTGCTTTTGGCGATTTATCCTCATTTGGTGGAGTGGTGGAGAGAGTGGCGGGAAGGAAAAAATGGAAGAGGTGGAGGAGAAAGAAGATCTCGTTAAATATGCTTTTGCTTTTCAGAATGCATTGTAAGAATGGTTGTAAGCGCAGTTATCTACGAATGTCTTAGGTTTTGTACTACTTAGGTAGTTCAAAAGGGTGAAGTGTCATATTTTAGAGTTCATTTTTATTTTTTAGTTTTTGCACAACAAAAGATGCAGAGCGAAATAAAATTAGAAGACTACATTTGAAAGTCAGTAAAAGGCAAATATACTGTTTATGGTATAAACACGCCCTCGCATTTAAATTTAGCAAGAAAAGCAAACTTAGTTTGATGTAAATTTTGAATAAAACTTTATCGATTTCAAAGACGATCAAACGCAGGTTCTCTTTTTTCAGGAGGGAAAAAAGAGGGGAAGAGAAAAGTATAAATGACACTCTTATTAATCATTAAGCCAAAAATTATGACATTACTAAAAAACATTTAGAGTTGTTTAAAGTAGGTAACCAAGTCTTTAAGAAAATTTCTTAAACTCTGAACCATAGCACCCATCTTAGATACGTAGTAATATTTCAAACTTGTAGGACCCGTAAGTCCTCGAGTTTTGCTCATAATAAATAAAATGGGAACAAAATAATCCACTATTA